ATAAGCTAATGGCTTCTGTTTAATAAATGTCAGATCTTGGCTGCTAATAGTTCAGAACACAGTGTGATCTTTTGTGACATGAACTCTCTAACACCACTAATGAAGTAAGGCATAAAGCCCAAATAGATTAGCCTGGAAGCTTCAGATCTCTCCTACCTGTTGATACTTTCTTCAGACAAATATCCCTCCAACAAAGGATTGAGCTCAGGCACAAAAATATTTTCTGTAGACAGATACTTTGCTAAAGTTTCCTGTTTGTAAGTAATATATATCCCTTTTATATCTTCTGCAAATCATGCTGAATAAAAAATGTAATTTCCCTTGCAACCTCAGAAATCATTTCCCAGTGGCATTTTGCAAGCGTTCACCTGACTGGGATGCTCTTTATCTTTCTCTTTTTAAAATGTCAAGCAGATAAAAGTCTTCTAAATAGCATTTTTTCCTATTTTGATTAATTTTGCATAGCGTTTTCCCAGAAGAATTGATACTTACATAAACCTGAGTTCTGATTCTCTTCTGACTAAGACTTCCCGAAGTCTCTGGATCTTTGCCATCTCTAGCTCAATTTCCTCAGGCATCATTGTTGTTTCAGCCATTGAAATGATGTCGAGTTGATCTGTGTGTAAAGAAAAAGACAAAATGAATGAAGCTAGTCAAACTCTCTTAATAGGGCTTTTTAGTAATGCAAATTTTAATCACACAGCTATCTGGATATAAGGTAATTAATGCAAGTAGCAGAGAATATTCTAGCTGAATGTTACATGAACTGGTTTCTTTATTGTTTTGCTCATTACTTTCAATGTTTTCTAGCCATTTTAAAAAAAATAGAATTGCTAAGATAATATTCAGTTAGGCAGAATCTATCATATCGCTAAGGAATTGTAACATAGCCTACCAGTGTATAACTATAGCTACTGTGCCTTAATTTGCATTACTACAAACTTCCACAGAATAGCTACAGAACTGCTACTAAACTGCTACAAAACAGATCTTTGATACTCCTGTCTTGGCCCTGTGCAGGCAGTGTAAAACTGATGAGGATTTCCCATCTTATTTATTTTTTTACTCTCTATGCAATTCCACCTTTGTAGCATGAGTAACAGCCCAGACCTACTAGCGAAGAGCCAAAGATATGGATAGAAATTATGCTATGCCTAATTCTTTGAAGGGCTCTTTCTCAGGAGAACTTTAAAATAATTTGAGGAGACAAACTCTACAAGTAGCATTACTTGGCAACTGGTAGTGCCAGTGTTATTTTCTGGTCATTTTTCTAAAATTGACATTACCACTTCTGATACAGAGGAAGAATAGGGCTATCAGCTCATAGAAGGTAGAAGAAAGCAATTTATAGAAGGTAATTTTACATCAAATCTCCGTCTCTTCTAAACTTCCTTTCCTAACAGGTAAGACTGAATGAGTTCTTTTAATAGCTGCCAACTGGTGAATCCTTAGGTAACATAAATCCAAAACATTTGCAGTATGCCACTCACTTTGTCCTCTTTTCTCTGAACTGTATGTATTTCTATGATGGAAAGGGCACAGGTATTAACACAGTATATCCTGGAAATTCTGACTTAGTAGAGCACAAGTAGGAGGCCGCTCTGGAAACAGGAGTCTCTGAAGAAGCCACCAGTCAGGACTCCAACCTCAGGCCTTCACCACTGTTCCTTTCAGATCGGCACCCTGTTTGTGTCTGAATTTCTATGCCAATATTGTGGTTAACTGTTCAGTATACCTGGCAGCAGCATCCTGAAGCATAATTAATTATTGTTCATAAAATGCTTTGAGCTCCTGGGATGCAGAACACTCAGGAAAGAAAAACATGTTAACATTATTAAGCCTTTGAGTAAAGCTCTAGCTCTGTCCCAGTGATGAATGACACCTTTATTGCTTTGAGTCAAGGATTCTGAACAGCTTCACACACACATCTCTTGCCTTTTCATAACAGAAAGAGTGAAGAAACACTGAGATTAGTCATAGTGAGGGACAGAACTGTCTGCTCTACAGTCACCAGAATAATTTTCACTGACAAAGAAACAAGTGAAATATTATTACTGTATGCATAAAAAGACATGAACGTGATAATAACTAGTATATAGAAATAAAATTATCAAGCTATTATATGTAATATGATGAGCTAAAGAGATAAAACCTATTTTTCTATATTCTTCCTTCGATTAAATGCAGACTGGTATAGTTAAACTGGGTATTAACTTAATGATCACATTTCCTCCTCACTATGTCAGGCATAAATGGAACATTTGCCAACTGTAATGAAAACAGAAGAGAAAAAAAAAAAGCCTATTAAGTCAATAAGTACAAAGAAAATTTTAAAAGAAGCCTGAAATGATGGAATGACAAATGGGAGAATGCACTGCACCTGCTGTTAATAGCTCCAGACAATTTGATAAGGAAAGTTATGAGGAAAAAAAAGTAATTATCAGCAAAGAATCCTTATTGCTGTCAATCCATGGTGGCTGAGCACTCTTGGGATGGGTTGCATGCTTTCCCTTACAATCCTGGATTGATGGACAACAACCAGTAACAAACCAGGTGCTCAGCCCTCCTAAATTAGAGTACTTCAGATGAAAATTATTTTAAGTCATTGCTGTCATGCACTGGATTACAATGGAGCAATTTGAGGCCTATTGCTGTGCTCTTTTAAAATATACTTAGGTTAAGTGTTGTTCCAAATTTGGGTCAGCACGTTGGGGGCTCTCTCAAGATTTGAGCCAATTCTTAAACCCTTTGATCCTGTGATCCTTTTCACAGTGCAGCAAGTACACTCTTAATGCTGCTTCAGACAAACCAGGCCAAAACCAGGGTTTCCAAAATCACTCTTCATTGATGAACCAAAGCAGAATTAAGTTTGGCTTACATGCAGGTGAAAAGAGAACAAGATGGTGCAACTTAAAAACAGCAGATGCAGAAAAAAATCAATACCATGATAAATACTCCAGATAAAAACTGCTCATGTGAAAGAATCAGATGATTCATTTAGCTACTCCCCAGCTTGTCACCTGGAGGCAGGAACATGCAGCCTTGTAGCCAGTCACTGCACACCTTTGGTCTCTGAAATGCGTTCAGAGGCTCTTTGTTTTAACATGTCCAAAGCAGGCTGGAGTGGCAAATAATTATCCTATACAGAAAAAAATATATCTAATCGCTAAATCCCCATCTAGCCAGCTCTAGCATTCTGTAACTATGAATCCTAACAATGATTAAATTTGACGCGTCTGTGGAATGGTATTTATTCAATGTTTTATGCTGGAATTAGCATAAAAATAGAGCTAATAGCTAAACACAATTCAAACAGCTGTAATATATTCTGTTTCTGGCTTCCCAAAGAGGTAGGAAATGTTGTGCATCTGAAAAAGGGGAACTGGGGAGAGGGGAAAAGTGACCTAGGATAGTAGCAGTGTGGAAGGGACTTGACACATCATCCTGCTCCTGGCATTTTGGCTGCCCGGCTCAGGCCCAGTTGAGACACAGTGCAGATGTCCAGCCTTGAGAAGCCTCAGCAGAGGCTCCCTCGCCCTTTGTGTAGGGGCAGATTTCAAGCTGAAACTTTTGTTTCTGGTCCCCTGCCTTGGGGCCTGGACTTGCTCCCAAATGACCTTGAATCTGTTTTGTTGGTAAGGCCTTGCCTGGGGATCTGGACTGTTGGCTGACCCTGGTTATTGTCGCTCTGCCCGCCTTGCTCAGGTCGTGTGGGGCTGTGCCCTTGCTGGGGAGGACACTGCTAATGCCCCTGCCTGCCTGCTATAATGCCTGAGTCCCAGTGCCTCTGAGATATTGGTCCCACTGTTCCACCTCTGTACCCACATCCCAGAATTCAGTCCCCATCCTGCAGAGTACAGTCCATACTTCATTCTAGTGCTTTAGCCTAGAAAAGGTTTCATTCTCCTCATCTCCTTCAAGGCAATCTCTTTCCTCTGCTTGTCAGAGGGCCCTCCTGTGTAATCTCTTGAACTGAAGACAGATTAGTGAGGACAGGCAATTTAGTAAAAGTTGTAACTATGCTGCGGTTGCATCAGGCCTTAGTAACCAGCTAATAGGCTGCATCAGGTCAGCAGGATGCATGTATCTGATGAGTTTTAACACTGTAAAAAAACGTAATCTCTAAAGATGCCAGTCGTGCGCAGAGACTGCCTTCACAGGAGCAAAAGGCTATTGCTGTTATGTATGGCAGTGTGTTCTCAGAGCCACTTTATTATGACTGCATCAATAGCAGCAAACAGTTGAGATGACATAGGAGTTGAATTTTGCTTCTGGCAGGAAGCTGCAGATTTTTAGTTCTCTGCTTTGCTCTTAAGGTTAAGTCAAAGGGAATCCTGTCTGTGCAAAGGGCCTGGTTTCCTATCAGAGTGCATGGGGATCTAGAGGAGCTTTGCATGTCTAGAGCAGTTGACTTCTCTGCTGCAGAGCCAGAAAGCCCTGAAAGCAGAAATTTCAACCGCAGTGCAGCTCCCAGGTGCACAGGAGGTAATCTTGGAGCCCTGGAATGCTGGCTTAGCTCAGGGCATCGTAGCTGCCAACATCTCTGCCAGACAGCAGGGCACCTACAAGTCCTAATGCTGCTTTTTCTTATGTTCCATGTCTCAGGGCAGAATCCTGGGCTGGTTGATTCCCCTTTCAACTTGGCTTTGTAACAGGCAGCTGCGAAATCTGGCAGCCCTAGGGAACCTCCTTGGCAGGAGGGAGCCACAAATGCATACTGAAAGCTGATTAAGTGCCAAGATCTCAGGGACTGTCGAAGTCACCATATATCCCTTCTTCTGAACAGTCATTTGGGGAGGGAGAAAAACAAGAAATGGGAGAATTTCTCATTTGGGGGCAGTTGAGGTGCATCTGCTTCCTGAGAAACTGAAATATTGAGTACTGGCCAACTCAGCTCTCCAGTGCACTGCTTCGGGGTCAGTGCCTTCAGCAGCTCCTCAATCAATTTTGTAGAGAGAGCCTGCGTGACGACCGATAGAAAGATACATGAGACCTCTCTGAGAGGATCAAAATGAATTATCACACATTTAAACTTGCCATTTGTGGGAGGAAAGAAAATCTTGCTTTCATAGTAATGGGCAGAATCCCTAGGAAAAGCACTGCTACAGCATGAACTGTAGTGAAAACCTTTTTATTTTGCAAACAGAGAGAATAATAAGTAATCACTATTGCCCATAGGATGATAGCTGCTTTAGCTTATTACATTTTTTTTTTTGTAATGAACATGAAAATACTGTAATTGTAGACATGTAAAGAGCATTAGTAATGACAAAGAATGGCCCAAGCAATCTAAAAAGACTTACTTATGATATACTAATGACCAATTTTGGAAGGTTTTCTTTTGAATTTTTGCTGAATTAAATACTGCAACTTTAGGAAGAAGTCACATGGACAATATGATTAGTTCTTTTCCCTATTCACCAGCCTCTTTTCATTCAGTATTTGACAGCCTTTCAGTCTTGTTTGGTATTAAACACTGAATATCAGAGATAATCTGTGTCCTTTATGTATGAAATTACTCATTCCTGTTCTCTAATAATAGACTACTATGACTTAGAGTGAGTATGTAGAGTTGTATGCGTGGCTTGAATCTGTTATAATTTATATATATTTGTGCCATCCTTGAATACTCTGATCAGCATTCACTAGACACGCATAAATAACTCTAAAATTATTTTTAAAAAGTGTTTTGTTTTGTCTTTCTGAAATCTCAGCAGTAAGCCCCACACCATATAAAATCTGTAGAGAAAGGTGTATGTGGGTCAAGGAGGTAGGAAAGCATGAATTCATCTTGCGGAGATGATTAGCTCTGCAGATCCCTGCTCCTAATAAAAGGCTCACTGAAGTCAACGGGAGTCCTTCACTTCAGCTTTTTTTTTTTTTTTTTTTTTTTTTTTTGCCTTTGAAGTAGAAGAATAAGCTTGAAATAGTCTTGGAAGTTCAGACTTGGCTTTTCAGAAATCTGTTGGTATTCTGTGCCTAAAACTGACAGGGAAACCGATGAATTGTGTGGAGCTGGGATGTGATATGCTAGCACTTGGAAAAATGGGAGTGAAAAATGATTCTCAGAAAAAAGGGAAAATGACAAAATGGCAGGACAAGTGACATTCATCTTTTTGTTCAATTCATCAGAATTTTGATGAAGCTTTAAACCAAGTGGTGACCAGAAAAACCTATTGCTCAAAAAACACCAGAGACCTTTCTGTCTGACATGTTATTTCCTTCCAAGACATAACAAAATTCATCTGACATGGCTGGAGATGGCTCTGTTCAAGCAGTTAGTTGAGATCTGAGTGAAATAGGGTAATTAAAAAAATAGGCATTATGGTCTGTACAAAAGGAATCTGAATTTTATAATCATCACAGATTTACATCATCATTATCAGATCTAGTCATATATAGCCTGAGATTTCCACTTGAAAATGATGTCTCACACTCTAGAATATCACCTAATTTTAAAATTTGATAAGTAGAGAAAATAAAAAGAAACACTGTGTGCAATTGCCTGCTGCACTTCCAGAATCATTGCCCTCTATGCTCCATATCTAAGAGCCTACTGTATAAAAAGATTCTCTTTGAGTGGCTTATCCTTTACTTTCTTGTTCTTATCTTAAATCTTTGCCCTTTCATTTTTTCATTATTTACCTTTTCAAAAAGCCTGTTGGCAGCAGTCTATTCTTTCCCATTTTAGGCTTTTGTATACTGTAGCCTCACTGAAATTTCTCTTGAAATATAAATGCCAGATGCACCGTGTTGGATATTAACTCCTTCCTCTAACTCTCAAAATTCTTTTGGTTTCTATGGTATCATCCTCTTGCACATGATGACTCCTTTCATGTCTGATGTAAGAAAGTGCTTGTACCTACTCAGTGTCCAAATGAGATTCTGTGTTGTTTTACATCCTCTGTATTTTATTTTTTATAAGTCATTGTGGTATTGCAGTGAATAATGGCTAGTTTAAAATCTGAAACTGAAATAGATCCTGCTTTGAGTTTTCTAATTTAACTACATATTTCTAAATAAAAATAGACATTCATGTAGTAAAAGTGATTGCTCTTAAAGGTGGTCTTTTGCTTTACTGACTGGAGGTTTTAAATGATGGTTCCACCTTACTATCTTAGGGGCCATTTTTGCTCTAGTTCCATATATAAATATATATCAACATATATCCATAAAAATAAGATCTTAAGATCTTATTTTTAATAAGAATGATCTTATGATAAGCATCAATTAAATTGCCATTTGTTATCCTGAGAGATTTATAAGCAACAATTATTCTTGGCTTTGTGTTCAGTCAATTTATGACAGTTCCAATTTCCTAAGTGGGTAATTAGCAAGCCTTTAATATTACAGTTCCCCCAGGAAAAAGACCTCCCTCATCTAAGAGTTTAGCATCATGCACAGAAGACTTCACTGTAGCATTCAGTGACAGACAAAAACCCAGCTCACTTCTCAGCAGCTGTTCATCCTTCTCTCCGGTTCTTGGGGAGATGTGATGTATAGGACATAATGGGAAACATGTAGCATTCATGCTCATCCTTAATGTATCTAAAAAAATCTATACCATCATCCTGTATATGGATGATAAATGTCATTTTGTCTATCTTGCACTTAAAATTCCAGTTTTCTGAATTCTCCTGATTTTTCATGCTATCAGCTTTGTGGACATGGTCTACTTGTGATGATGGTAGCTAGGAGGTAAGAGAGTTTTTGGCAGCTAAGAGGAAAGGATCTAGGACAGGAGAATGATTATTTATTTTAAATGATAATGGCTGGCACAAAGAGTAAGTAGAGGTAAAGAATAAATTTAACTGTGAAAATAGTAATTATCCAAAGCAATAGCATTCTGAAACAGTCTTTCAAATAGGATAGTGGAGGAAAGGAACCCAAGGTGTATTATACTAAAATAAGGGCATACAGGTCATTTAGGGGTCCAGCCTCACTTTGTGGGGACAGTCTGACAATAAGCACAGATATTTTACCATTATCTGCAGCTGCAAGAGGGTGTATAAGGATGTGTGCAAAATGAGCACATTGTTGAAAACTGCTGCGCTGTAGAACAATCAATACAGAAACCAGGAGGTATGGTGAAGTTGTACGTTACGACGAATTGCTATTTAAGAAGGTGTGATTGTTTTTTGTTGTTAGGAAGTTTTTATTATCCCTTTGCTTTCAGAATGAGAATGTGACACAAAATGAATGGTGCAGGCTTGTGTTCCTGATCTTTCACACGAATGGTGCAGGCTTGTGTTCCTGATCTCTCCTTTCACATGACCTGGGTGCAGACATCACAACATCCTGTTTCGGGAATGTCACAGCCTTCCCACCAGTCTGGGGACCCCACACTGCAGGTGCCCCAGTGCAGCTTGTGTATTCCCTGTGCAGGACCAGCTCTGCCTCCCACCACCCCAGCTGGATGCCAGAAACTGCAGGAGAAGCTGCACCCCTTGGTTGAGTTCAGTCCTTGGCACTCGGTGCATTACAGGGGATTTTGCCCTCAGCTCTTGTCCATTTAGCAGCCCTGGTTCTGCAGCTGGCATTTGAAATGTTTATTTATAGCCAGGAAGCCTAGACTTATTTTACCTGTAGAATCTGCAGCATAAGGTGGGTTCTGTTTCCAAACTGAGTTACAGAAAAATGGTTTGCCTATGTGTCTGATAAACTGAGAATCCAGCTTTAGAAAGGATCCTCTTTGTACAGAGGCATACAGTCCTCAGTGTGTTCTCCTACTGGTATCTTGGGATTGGAATAAACCAGGGGTTCTGGACTAGATTATCAGGTAGTATAAACTAATAGCTCTGTTCACTATCACTGATACTTGTTCAGCAGTAGGATTTAGTTTTCTGAGGTCTGGTGTCCTCTGCAGCCAGACACTGCTCACCCTTCCAAAGGTTCCAGACTCCTCCTCCATATGTAGAGTCATAAAGATCCATCCTGTCAAATGATCAGAGCAGCTCTTCAACATAACACACCAGCTCTGCTTTCATTTTCTTCCATCTGAACCTAAGGGTTCTGCTTATGCAGGGAGTTAATACAATAGGACAATTTGCCATCTAATTATCTGTAACTAGAACTGTTTATTTCTGGCTGCAAATCTGTATATGATTTGGTAATGTTTTGTAGCACCATCATTATGATTTGTATGTAGTTTTCCTACCAGCAAGAATCTTCCTATTTATATATCATATTAAGACTTATATCATGTCTATATCATATCTTCTCTCATGATCATGTCTTAAATCATGTCTTTGATCTGGGATTCACAATGTCCTGGATATTCCCCTAAACAGTCAATTTTAGATGGAGGGAGAGAAGACTTCCTCAGCAGAACTTTCTAAGGCTGCAGCGTAATAGAAGCTAATACAAAATATATTTACAAATCAGAAAACAGAATTCCAGTATCCAGAGCAATAAATACCTAGGGAATTAGAACTCAATATTTAATATAAACTAAATATTTCTTTGAAAACATAACACAGTTTCCTAGGAAAGTCTTTCCATAAACAGCTACAGGCCTGATTTGATAGTCCCTTATTAGCAAGTCAAAAATACAGATTTTTTTTTTAGTGTTAATGAAATTAGCAGGAAGTGCTTCTGATGTAAATAAATTCAGGGTATGTGCAAGCATGTCCAGTAACACAAATTGCCATAATGCCATGCCAAGATTGAGTTTTGAAAACCCTTAGGAGCTCTGACATTGCAATTACAGGGTTTGCCCTTTCTGCTTTGAAGCTGCTCCCCAGACTCCATCTAGGCAATTTGCATGTCCCAGGCAATTGCCATTACGGTCAGCAATAACGAGGCTGTGCACATCTCCTCAGCCTGTTAGAGGGAAAATGCATAAAAATGAAGAAAACACAATCATGAAAACAGGAAGAGGAACTTGAAATTACTGAATTTTTATAAAATCATTTTAAACTCAATCTCATTGAATTAAGAAACCCCAGAGACATTATTCATGGATGCACTTGTGATTCTCCATTCAGAGGAAACAGAATCCTCTATTTTAATACAAATTGCATCTCTGAGTTGAAACTGTTCAAATAGCCAGGTTCTAAATTTGGCAGGCTGGCCTGCGTAAGATCATCTCAGGACAGTTCCTGTCACACATCAGACTTTAAAATCTACCACCATGGAGTGTCTTTGCTGGCATATTGGCAGGGGAGAAACAGGACTTGCTCATATTCAGGAGAGATTATTTTCAGAGCAATTACAGCACATTGGAAGGGCATCATCATCCCTGTGACCATTTCAGACCTCAGTTTCCAATATCCCTAGTGTCTGAAATGGGTTACAGGCTCCATTCAAGACCAGTACAGTTCCATTTGAAAACTAACCTGTGGTATGTCATCCTTTGCATTCCTGTGCAAAGAAGGATTAAATGGTTTTGAGTGGAATTTAAAGAAGAGCTGACCATATAGTGAAGTCTGCAGAGAACTATGAGAGATTTAACAGGGAACTATAATTGAATTGTGCGAGAGCATTTTCCAGACTTCTTACTGTTATTTCCAATTCTAACTGAGCCCTTGTTTCTTGGGTATCACATTCCTTCCTGCCAGATGCTCTAAGAACAGGTTTCTTTCCATGTTTGGCTGGTGGCTTTAGATGAGGTGTGAAAGCAGTTTCCCCCAGACGACATCACATGTCAGCCTGAAACTAAGCAACCTAATTTTTAATGCTATAATAGAGTGCAATTTTTTCTGTTTCTAAGAGATGTACCAGAGTATCTTCATATCAGCAATTCTTCTACTGACCCAACCTGAGGGAAGGGTGCTCTCAATATCCCAGCAGACCTAAAACAGAAACTTGTCAGAATTGTTAAAACACAGTTTTAGTTGAGAAAAGGCTTAGGATAGCCAAAGGTTTTTGAAAAGATAATTCTGCCAGGGTGGGGAGAAAGTGGAAGAATTGTTGAGAGGAACCGGTATCTCTAAAGACATGAATCTTTCCTAGATTAAGTAACAATAGGATGGCATGTCCTTAGACAAGATAAAAACATATGTAAGCTGTTTTGAGAAAAACTGTTTCACCAAAAAAAATCCAGATGTTAATATAAAGTAATCTTAGTAAGGCTCTTCTGTCACAGTAGACAGCTGACCACAGTGTCCTGGAAGAGAAGGATCCAAAGTCTGCAGAAAGGGAACAGCAGAGACTCGCAGAGCACCAAAGGGCTCTGTCCTGCTGAGAGGCAGTTTGAGGGAACGTGGACTCCAAGGTGCTGACACCGACACGCAGCCAGAAGACAGGGATCTCACTCAGAGCTCAAGGCTATCTCATGTTCTTAAGTCACAGTTCACTTTTGTGTGTGTGTGTGTGTGTGTTTAAAGCAATTTTCCCAGTATTGTATTGCATCTGGTACTGAATTTCCCCTGCTGTCATGTCTGCATATGAACAATTTCCAAATGAAGTTTATAAGTAGTGTTAACTGATTATTGATTTGAAAAGCAATGGCACAGCCTTGGAACAGTCTTTTCTAACTATAAATGATGAGAACTTCCTCCTTCTGTGTCTCTTAAGGATGGAAATTCCATATATGAATATATGAACATAAGCTCAAGAAGAGCTGGAAACAGGCTTGTCACTAAAATATGGGGATGCCAGTAGCATGAAATCTGTTGTTTTCTTAAAATGATTTACGCTAAATTGCTTCCCTTTTTTTTTTTTTTTTCTTCCTCTTTCCTTTCAGGTAATCTTCCTATCCAGTTCTTTGGCTTTACAGTCACATTTTTCTATTTCATTAGATGTTTATATCTCCCCTGTTGCTGTATGAAAACTTCTTAACAATCAACAGAAAAAGTACTGACTCTATTCAGAAAGTGCTATCAGGTACACTGAACAGAAAAAACATGGTCACTATAATTTGTTTCAGACCACTGTTCATATATGTTGTTATTAGTAGACTAACAAATCTTACAGAAGTATGATTTCAGTAAATTCTAAATGATTAAATAATGAATTTACCTTGTTTGCAATTTTAAATTTCATGTGTGTATATACACACACATATATATGCATTCTCATTTTTGAATGGGAATTTGTAAAATAGAATGGCAATCATCCCTAAGAATTGGATCATGGTCCAGACTGCTGAAGATCCCAACGGTCCTTGCCAGTCAGACATGGGAGATAATTCTCTCCTGATCCTTAGTATCAATTTATTCCTCGGAATGTATGTAGGAAACTCAGCCAGGTACCACAATGCTTCTCATACTGCTTCAAATACCAGCCCCTTTGTACTCTCTCTAGTGGCTTCTAGCATCTCAGAAAGGCAGACAAAAAAATCCAGAAGTCAAACTGAAACACTTATCTATTTCTGGAGACCAAATTCATGAGAACAGGGACTATGCTACCCCTCTCCATTTGATTATGTTAAAACTAGCACAGAAGAGACAAATGTTTCTGGTACCTAAAGCGCCTATTTCCTGGTATCTATTCTTAGTACCTTTATACTTGAGTGTGGGGTCAGTTTTTTAAAATTATATTTTTCAAAATAAATCCATGTGAGATGCAAACCTGCTTTGCATTCAAATAATGATGCCAGCAATGTAGCTGCCACTGGCTTTTTCATAGTCCTTTCACCTCTTCCCATCATTTAATGAAATTAAAATATGACCTTGTGCACTTTAAACAGCAATTTGTCCTTCAGAGAATGGAGAGAATATTCAGCTGTTTGCAACCTAATGGGAGAGTTTGCTAAGTGTATTTGCCCTGACAGCTGTTCCCTATGAGAGAATGGCTCCAAAACAAGACATGAAAAAAGAGGGAAAAACATCTTTGAAGGTCTGACCCCAAAGCCCTCACTGTCAGTTTTCTTCGGTGGTGCAAAGATAGACCTTTCTGTGCAAGAAGCTATTTTAATCTGGCTCAGGAGGACTGCCAGAAGGCAGGAGGATTCAGGAATGGGTTTTTTGTGCCCAATCCTGCCAGAATCCCCGCATGAGATTCAGCAGATTCAGTGCTATCAGAAGGCTGGAAATAGAAACTAGTACAGTTAGTGACTGTGGTCGGTATCTCCCCTAATGTGGAGCTCCCACTGAAATCAGTGCAGTCTCATCCGGGATAATGTGGACTTCGGAGCAAGAGCAGGTTAGAGCCATACCACAAGGAAAGCAATTTATGCTCCATATTTACATGATGGAGGATTAAAAGGGAATATTAAGAAAGGCAAATTACTTCTTCATTTACTTCTGTCATTCTGCTCAGTGGTCAAAGGAAACAGCCTGTAGCTTTCCAAAATGACTCACTAGAGTAATTTTCTGGTCCTGTAACACTAGCACAAAGCCTCTGTTTCATCTAGCATCTATGTTTCAAACACTGTAACGGTGTCAGCTACAGCTAATGTTCGGCTATTTAGAGCTATTTAGTTTGATATTTTAAAAAGATATTTTCTATCTGCCTTTTTTTTTTTTTTTTTTTTTGCTTTTTGCTTTCAGGAAAAAAAAAATCCTCCAAATACTCAGTCTTAGAAATCTTGCAAAACCTCTCTAGGGATATATCGTTTCATGTAAGATTCCTCCTGCTAGCACCAACTAATAAACAGCAGTACAGGTAGCAAGGGAAATAATTATAAAATGGCCACTGACATGTCTAAATTTCAAGTCCTCACAATATTCTCCTTTGTTTGAAATTACCCAGCCACATACCACAAAGCCTCTTCATCTCTCTCTTTGTCCTCTGTGATGTGCTTCTCTAAGAACACAGTTGTCTATTGGGGCTCTAAATATTTTCCCAGCAGCTGGTGGATAATTTTAGGCAATCTTAATACCGCTGGATAAATAATATAGGCATCTGAGTCCAATCCAGTAAAGGCCAAACTCTGGTGTGGAGAATTGCTTCAGAAACTAAAAAAAAAATGGTTCGCATAGCAGATTCCCACTCCAGCAAGTGATTAAATATTGAGAAGTTCCTTCTTAGAAGCTAAGAAAAAAGGAGTTTCACATTTCATAGCAAAAAAAAAAAAAAAAAAAAAAAAGAGAGAGAAGTGATTTCTCAAGGGGGTGAATGTTGCTATTCCTTAGCCCACTGGCTAAGATGATGGGTACAGCTCAGCAGCTAAGAGGGAGGCCAGGCAATGAGCGATCTGTAGGGTCTTGCTGGCTAAAGTATAGGTGGGCACACAGTGCTTCCAGAACGGCCTAGGCAAAAGTTGATCCCTTCCTTAAACATGGAATTACCAGCATAGAGCCAAATCTCTTTTGTTCTTTCTCAGCAAATGCTCAGGTGGAGCAGCACAGAGCCCCATTTATTCGCATCACGAAAGATAACGATGATCACAGTGGGCACCTAAATCTATTTCCATTTGCATTTTGTCTGAGAATGTGGAGTCAGTCTCTGTCAACCTCTGTTTTCGCAAAGTTAATTACTTTGACATACTTTATTTTGATTCAGTCTTCTTAAATATGCTAATACATTCTTGCTCACAACGGGCCCAGGGCTGGTGGCGGAGCGGCGCTGAGCTGATTGCCACCCCGCGGCTCTCCGAGGGGAGGAAACGAAGGCAGCGCCGGAGAGGCCTCAACTCTGCCACTGAGCAGAAGGGATCACTGCGTGTCACCTCCTCTTTGTAGGAGAAATTATTAGAAGTAAATTTTGTAATTGCAATACATTTCCCACCTTACCATATCATGATTGTGGGCTTGCAAAAATCCACGGCTGTGCCTCTGTCATCTCATACCATGAGATCTCTTTGCCACAGGCAAGTGGCCTGTGGGGAAACATCTTGGGCTTGCTTCCCCATGGTAGGAACTTCTGCCTGCTGCAGTGCTTGTGCACAGGACAGCGCTCATGGAATGATGCAGCCCCTGAATGCTCTCCCAAAGAGTTTTCCAAAGAGAATCAAAGTGAATAGGACGTCCAGAGACATAGGTATAAAGCCCAGTTTTTCCTTCATTA